GAATCCGAATGGGAAACGACGAGTGGGTCGTCGGTGCGAGCTAGGGTGACATGGAGGAGATCGTGTGGCGAGGAGGAGATGAGAGATTATGGTCAATCGTGAACCCAACTGAAGTGGACAACAGAAAATAGAACGAAGTGGAGATGTGTTTTTGAAGCCCTATGTTCCACTGATTGTCAACCGATCCCTACACTCTTTCCCATAGAAGGATTTACCTACCTAGGTATCCCCTTCAGCCAAAAATGTCGATGCCATTTTACACACTCTGATGTTCTAAGGGACTATCTGATGAATATCAAACAAACCCCTCAAACAGCAGCAATGAATGAAGATTTTACGGAACAATTTAATTCTGCGTTTTTTATATCCTGTAACACTGGGGACAGCACACTGAGAGAGTAAGGCAGTGAAACGAGGTAAACAACACTACATTCATGAAGAAAAGTGTTGAATGAAGTGTACTAATAAAAATAATAACCGCTTTATTCTGAACAGTGTTTATATAATGTACAGAATTTTCAGACGACATTATTACACAATAGTTTCACTTTGTCCAGGATATTCAAGTAAAGTAGTAAATGACACTAAATCACGTGACACACTGCTATCTAACCTCAACCGAAAACCAATCCCGTATGCTATTTCTTCTTTGCCTCCATCGAGAAGTGCACAGCATTTGGTTGAAAGGCAAGGGTACATCTTTTGACCTAAGGACATAATTACAATAGCTGAATACTTGAAGACTGTGGGTAATTAGTTTTATTTCTCAGGCAGTGGCAGTTTGTACTACTAAAAATCTTAGGTACAGTCACCTCATGTATTGGGATGCGTTGTCACTCACGATTTTGTTTCTTCTCAAATTTATTAAAAACTTGAAAATCATCAGGATGTAGACATTTTAAATACTCGGGAGAGTAGAAAACACCATTAAGAGTGACGTTCTAATATAATTAGACAAACTGAACAAGAGGTAGATTAGGTTTGGTTTGAGGAAAGATGAGGATTAGGGTTGAGTTAGGCATCAAATTTACCTTTCAGTGCTATGACTTTTTCCAAGATTATTGGTGCATTCGCTGATGCCAATGTTACATTTGATATTTGGTTCTGCAGATATAAAAATAATTTCAAAATAGATTTTGTTGGCCAACAGAATTCCTGGAAAGTGAGTCACCTACTTCGAAAGTTCGGTGAATCCAAATGAAGGCAACAAATATGGCAACAGAATTATATCTCGAAACATATACATTCGCGAAATTGAGGCCACACTGTCGACAGTAATTTTTTTTATTCCTTCACATTCCTAGTGGAACATAGGGCTTCAAGCTAGAGACTTGAAGATTCTGTAGCAGTGTTTATTTTTACAGGATGGGGTTGCTAGCCTCACGCCCAACCTTCCCTCTTTACCAGTCTTACTACTGGCTTACCGAGGTAAAGAAGTGCGTCTGCGGCCGGGGATCGAACCCCGGACCATGTACATGGTCGGCGAGCGTCCTAAACCGCTATGCCACCGACGCACTGTCGACAGTAATACATTACTATAATTGCCAGATGGCGACAGATTCAGAAAAGGAAGCCCTATTGTTATAACGGTATCTCTATGTAGCCAAATTATGTACACCTCACCTTCAACACACCATTTGCACAGATCTTCAGTGTTGTACTACTTCTGGTCTTCCTTCATATTGTGTTTCTTTGTGTTCCTTTCACATCTCCTATGTATCTCCGCAACGCTGTATCATTTGCTTTCTCCAACATCAAATCTATCTTCTTGTTATTTGATGTTTTATGCCAAGGAAAATCTCTTTATATACATACTACTGATAAATCTTATCAGTAGTACGTGCCACAATCCCTCCTTATTTCTCAGCATCGCTATGTGAAGCTAATCATGAAGGAGAATGATGATTTTTCCGCTCATGTTGTGAACGACTTAAACAGAAACATTTAACGAACGATCAGCTTAAAACAGTATTACTTATCTGCAGCCTAAAGCCACCTAAGCTTGTTAAAATCAGAATACGGTTGCTGAACCTCTTGGAACGAAATCCGGAGTATTAAAGACTGACAAAACCCCAGCAGAATACGAGTTCAGTCCAATCCAGATGTGGCTCGCCAGAAATCACACAACTTCACATTACATTCTGTCCAGACCAAACCTGGTCCTATTTTTACTGTCCATTGTCCTAGTTACTTACGCGATACCAACAGACTACACAAGAAGACACCTCCATTATCATTTTGCCATTGTGATGCTTGACATTTTACCAAATTTTGTTCGTATATACAACACTGATACCAAAACTGTAATGCTGTTGGACACAAAGATAGCTTTTGCCAGCAGCACATATACAACGTCATTCACCACAACCCTCCTCCAAACATCAGCGCACATTCCATTCTCAACCAGAAGTTAAATTTCTGTAACCTGGTAGTTGTTTCGTGTGCTTATGCAACTAACTACCAGCGGAAAGTTTATTAGTTTCCATGCGAATAATCAAGGCCCAAAGGAAGTACAAATCGGAAGGAAGCTTCAAGGTACACATGACTGTAAAGTTTAACTTCGCCCACTCATTGTCCACATTAGTAATTGTACTAGTAGTTTGTGATGTACTGCCAAAGTGACTGAATAATTATTATTTATTTTTTATTTTGTTACAGCTTGTTGCCACACCGTATTATCAGTACAAGTATGGAATTTTCAGCATGGATATCGGTAGCCCAAATTTTGCAGGCCGAGCATAGATATCGGGTGTGCGCCGGCAGGGGCTCGAACCTCGGACCATGTGCATGGTCGGCGAGAGTCCTAACCACTGTGCCACCGACGCACATGAGTTTAACCACTGTTGGTGTCACCTATGCACGAACTACTACTCACTAGTGGGTAACACACCCACACATAGATCACATACTCGAGTGTAACAGCAATAACTCAATGACGCACAAAAGAGAAACTGTGTGCAAACATTGTGTAAAAGAGTTCAAACACACTGTAACACTCTAGTGCTGGAAGAGAATAGACGAGAAATACCTACTAATTGTCTTCAAGAAGAATAAACGCTCATACACTTTCATCCAAAAATGTTTAAACTCAAAGCGAAACACTAACAAGAAACCAACCTAAAAACCACAAGAAAACCCATTCTACCATATATAAAAAACATCTCTGAAATAGCTATTATTATTGTATGATTATTGTTCCCTTGGGTTCCTAGTGGAACATAGGAGTTCAACTGCACGTCTCCACTTGCTTCCGTCTTCTGCTGTACTTTTCACCTGCATCCATGCTAGTCCATACTGTTTCAACACTTCTTCACACGATCTCCTCCATGTCACCCTTGGACGTCCCACTCGTCGCTTCCCTTTTGGGTTCCACTCGAGCGTTGGCGCGATGTCACCCAGCGGCCTCCTCAGTGGGTGTCCAATCCATCTCCACTTTCTCCTGCATATTTGTTGGGCGATTGGTTCTTGTTTCGTTTGTTTGTTCCCATAGTTTCTTGTTGGTGATTCTTTCCGGCCATCTGATCTTCAGTATAGAGCCAGCGAAGACAGTTAGTTGTTGATAAAGGTCTGCAACAGGCTGTTGGAAATATTCTTTGTGACACACTGGCCAACTTTCTGATCCGTATAGAAGAACTGACTGACTTGACGTTTGTATTGAAAATCCGAATTTTGTTGTTGATGCTGAGGAGTGACGAAGATTTCCAGATTGGTTTCAAGTTGATGAATGTGTTTCTCGCCTTCCCGATTCCCGATTCTCGATTTGACATCCTCGTCCGTTCCTCCTGTAGTTGAGATAATGCTCCCTAGATACGTGAATGAAGTAACCTCTTTCAAATCCCTCCCGTTGATGGTGATTGGCACTGGATGTTTCTGCTGCTGTTGTTATTGTTGGTTGGTTATTTTCATAACCTCCGTCTTGTCTATGTTCACCTGGAGTCCTGTCTTTGCTGCTTCTTCGACCACTTTGTCGGTTTTCGCTTGTAAGTCTTCTATTTTGTGTGACATCAAACATAAGTCATCCACGCGCGAAATCCAGGTCTTCTAGGTTCTTCACGTCGGTCCAGGATATCCTTGTCTTCTCGTTTCCCACTGTCTGACGCATAATCCAGTCCACCACAATTAGGAATATGATTGGTGATAATAAGCACCCTTGTCTGACTCCTGTGTTTACTCTGAAATAGCTAACTTCTAGAATACTAAAGCTATTTGAAATAGACATAGCACACAAGCCAGTCAGCCAGCACAAACACTTCATTCAATATTGTGCAAACCAAAAGACCCAACAGGAAAAGAAGACAAAACCAATACCACCTATAAAATAAATTTCAAAATGCACGAAATCGGTCAAAGTGGGCATCCCCTTCGAATCTGAATCCAAGAACATAAATTACCTGTGAAAAGATACGATGTGTATTCTTATACAAATCGGTGAATGTAGACAACTATGGACACAAATTTTGACTGGGATAATATAGAGGAAACACCAGACTGTAATTCCAGGGAATTCCTAGAGGCCCGCAGTATTCAGATGAATTGGTGAGTGACTTACAAACGCATGTGATATATGTATATATATAGATCAAATTAACCAACTAATAAAAAGTAAATCACATGACAACAAAGTTCAAATTCCAAGTGAATAAAAATATGATCAATAGAGACGTAAATTAATAACCAATCACAACACAATGGTTGTCGCTTGCTCTGTAGCGATGTTGTCCAGGTGGACAATGAACGAACGCTCCGCAATTACATCAACCAGTTCAGGTGGAATACAGTAATGACTGAAACATGTTCGCCAATGCAAAAGCATCATAAATTTTCATAAGGAAGGTCACATATATGTTGTGACTGGCTGATGAGTTCCAAAAGGTGAGAAATCAAAATTCCATTTAGGCTGACAGATAACTCCTAACATCTAATTTCAAATATCCCTTTTTCTTCACATCATATATTCGAGTATTTGTTTATTCAAAATATTAGTAATAATTGTAAACTAATAATAAAGTACACAATACAGATTATAGGTGTTGTGAATAGATTGCAAAATTTTTTTGAAAAAAAAAGAAAAAATATATATAAATTAGAATAAAAAGAATTTACAAATCTAATGTTTGAAAAGCCAACACATGACATGATTCACACTGGGCAGTAGCAAATCGTCCAAGCAAATGGGCTACAGCACAACCAACTTTACACGGGCCAACAATCACTTGCCAATTTCGACCGTATTCTTTTTCTAAAGCTAATGCTATAAACTGTGGTATTGTCTGGAAATCAATTTGTCGTTTAACTGCTGTTCTAACCAGTTGATTTAACTTCTCTTCCAGCTTATCATATGAATGCTGGATATACATCGGCTCGTCATCTGGATCCCAACTGTCTTGAGACAATACACTAGTGTAATTTGAAATAACATTTTCCGATGAATAACTACGTTGTTGCAGTGATAACCGGCCTGGTGATCCTGATCTTGACGATTGGTGATGACGTGTCATATCTTCAGTTGAACGGAATTGAGCTGCTGCTTGTTGAAAGAAATCATTACTTGAATCGTATTTTCCACTATGTCTTCGATTGTGTCGTTCACTGAAATTACAAGAATAAATAGTTATTTACAAGTATTTCACATGATTAGAAATTATAGCAAAGTACAAGTCTCAGTCATCACAAAAGACAGGCTAACTTCAATTATGTATATATTCCAAACATAGTAACACTTTCTAGTCCCTGAATTAACGTTTTCAAGATATGTATGAAAAATTACTTCTGTGACATGTATTACTGACAAGAATTTGTAAGTAGTATATGTACAACATCTCCAAAATATTGAGCAGTGGAGGGATGGATTTTATGACGAGGAGAAAAAAATGAAAACAAGATAAAAGAAGCACAACAGGGAGAACATTTGTAAATAGTGATTTTAATATACGGTTGATGCATTTTTTCACATGTGCGTCGATGGCACAGCGGGATTCGATCCCCGGCCACAGACGCACTCCTTTACCTCGCTAAGCCAGAAATAAAGCTGGTAAAGAAGAGAGGTTGGGCTTGAGGCTAACAACCCCATCCCATAAAAGTAAACACTACTGCTACCGAAGCTTGAAGCCTGTAGTTTGAAGCCCTATGTTCCACTTGGAGCGTAAAGGAGAAAAAGAAGCATTTTCATCACAGATGTACATCAAATTTCAGTTATCCGGTTTCTTCACGGATCAGCTATCTCTGGTTGGGTCGTGGGTGCAAGCTTGTGAAGAGTTTCGAAATAGAACGAAACAGCTGTCCAATGAATCCTGGTTTTCAATTGCCTCTCCTACTGGTGTTCGTTCGTAGAGAAATCTAACATCTGAAATTAATCTAAATTCCCACAAATCCCATTATCTGTAAATCCAATTGCCAATAAACAATCCCACTATCAAATTCTATTGCGTCCTGCTCTTACACTTTAATTCATAATAATACCAGAACTGAAAAACTCTGATTACAAGGAGAATAGCAAACATTTCGTTAATCATATTGTTAACTTAATATCCCCTATCTAAAAACTTCCTGACTTCTTAATGATTAAGTTTATCTGAAATAAGTGACTTCACTGCTAAGATAGTTTCGATCAAGTAATAACACAAATGAATAATTGATATGAGTATAAAACTTGGGCACTGTGGTAGAGTATAACTCCATTATGGATAAGATTTTATTTTGATAAAATCACAGTGTTGTTATACAGTAATACTTACTAATGACGTTTCGAGCACAAACTATTGCCACTCATAATCATATCAAGTCACTCACACAACTTTTTTTCTTCATTTATATACATGAGTGGAATTGATGATTAGACATTTGAATAAAAATCAATATGGGATAATGTACATTCAGAAATAATAATATGAGTGTTATTGATCAAATACAATCAGATGGGAAATAAGACGAGTGTTTTTATAGTCAAAATAAATAAGTAACTTGTTAGAATGTTATGATGTACGTGAATTGAAATTGAAATAGAATTTTAAGATTATTTATTATCCTCCTCTGATTTGACTGACTGGATTCAGTAATCAATCTCTTCCCTCTCCACCTACTTATATTACTTCTTAGAATTTTAACCCTCTCCCACCCACCCTATTGTGTGACTGTGTGTTAATGCATGCAGTGCAGTGTGACAAGTCAATGTAGATCAAGTGGTGTTCACAAAAGGTTCTGTTCGATTAGTCGGGAGCATAATCTCCTACCCAATACCAATTCATGTGAATAAGGCATTTAGAAGACAAATTTCGCGAGATGATATCATCATTTCGTAGTTTCTTTACAACTAACATGGTTAACAATAATAAAATAAAGTTCATGACAATTACTCAGTTATATAAAAAACAAAAGTACATACTAATGACCAATCATATTTAAATAGGTCAAGTAGTCCATGGTAGGCGAAGGTTGAAGTCTATTGTTTTTTGTACACACAGTTTAGGATGTATGTGATTAATCCCCAAAGTGCATCCATCACCTTCAATAACCTTGAATTAGAGTTATGTGAAATAATTGTGAAACAGTCATTAATATTGATTTTGTGACCTGACATTAATAAGTGCTTTGAAATGGATGATGATGGATTTCTATTCAGATTAATTGCATTGGGATTTTCTATGTTTTATTAACCATTTTGGAACATGGAAAGATGTCAGTTCACATGTGATAAACATGATAATACACTTCTTAAATGTCATGGAGGCTCATAGAGTTTTTGTTGTTGTTTTCTTTTCATCTGTCTTGCTTCATAAGTGTTTGCCATATAGGTGATAAGTCTATTCCTTCTTTCCTATTCGATGTGGTTAAAATGTGCAAGGATTCATAGGTTAACCTTTCTTTATGTGAATGAAATCCTCTTCCTAGAATTTCGACATTGTCGAAATCAATTTTATGTCCGCTGTCTATCGCATGCATTGCTATAACCGATCTTTTTTCTAGACTTTTTAATTCTACTTCATTTTAAAGTGGACGTTTCGTGCATAGTCTATGTTCATTCACTCTGACCTTCACCTGTCTACTACTCTCCCCTATATAGCAAGCTTCACATTCTGAACATTTTATCCTATAGACACAATTACTTTGTGACATTTTGGGAACCATATCCTTGACATTCACCAAAGCTTTCTCTAGAGAATTAGACGGCTTGAAATAGACTTTAATATTATATGAAGCAAATAGTCTTTGAAGTTGTTCAGCTGTCTCCTTTCGATATGGAATGGCTATCGTCGATGGCCAAGATTTTTCAATTTTCTGTTTTCCCTTATGCTCCTTTTTATTGATAATATTATCTAGTAGCTTTTTCAGATAACCATTTCCAATCAGAATTTGTTTTATATTGGATATCTCGTTCTCCATATCGTCATTATCTGTTATAATGTTTCTAGCTCTGTTAACGAGATTTAAAGCTACTGAAACTTTCATTCCTATTGGATGATCTGATTGGAAATTCAAATACTTGTTGGAATGTGTCGGTTTCCTGTATATTGTGAACTTTAGTCTCTCATCAGTTTGTCTTTTTCACAAGACAATCAAGAGTTCCCTCATCCGATTCTACTTCATTAGTAAACTCTATATATTTTGAGATTAAGTTAATCTGTTAGAAAGTCTTCTTTTTCAGCTTTCTTTATGATGATAAATGTGTCATCTACATATCTATACCATATTCTTGGATGACAACTAAAACTTGTTAGTGCTTTTCTTTCTAAAACTTTGTTTAGAATCTAAATATTTTACTTTCAAAGACAAACTATACTGTCAGACAAATGGAGTTGCAATGGGTTCACCAGCATCTCCAATCGCAGTAAACCTGTATATGAAAGCTCACGAACTGACTTCAGTTACAGAATGAATCACTGGGAAGCCACAGAGTACTAGGTAGTTGTTTCGTTCTAGTTTGGAACACTTCAGAAGTGCGCACCCATGACCTCAACATTGGATTGAACCGCAGAACCTTAAGGTCACAAGTCGAGCTAAAATACCTTTCAGAAAATGTGACGGAATTCAGTAGTCCGGCAGTTCTAAATTCCTGCAATTGGTGATATATTGCGCGACTGCTCTTCTTGTCGTCTTTTTAGACAACACCTTCAGCTCAGTTTTTTTATGGAATGAACTCATTTGAATTCCTCATGAATGATAAAATGATGTAATCATTAAATCAAACAGCTAAGAGAATACAAATGATTCAAAATCATCCACCTGAGCTAAAAATCTACTAATTCAAAGGGGACACCCACTTTGACCGATGTAATGTTTATTGCAGTTCATACATGCAATTTATTTTGTAAATGGTATTAATTTTATCTTCTTTTTCTGTTGGATCTTTCAGTTTGCACAATATCGAATTAAGTGGTTGAAATAGCTTGTGTTTAGACTAGATTCATAGTAAATTAGATGTAATATTGTACCAAATGCTAAGAATTCCATGTTGTAACATGAGTACTGTTTTGGAATACAGCAAATTATTATAATATTAATCATCTTTGTAAAGTGTTACAAGCCTAACGATATTCAGTGTGTTCCCAGCCCATTGAAGAATTCGACATTAGAAATGAATCAACATTTGAGTGCAATAATCCTAAGGTATTTGAATAGCCCAGTAATATAGAATGGTAGAATGATAGCCAGTCACACAGTAGATCTGGGTTCGATTCCAGGCCGAAACACTCCTTAACCTCATCTAGTTCACTTGACGGAAGTAAGTCCGAAAAAAGGGGGGAATGGGCGTGAAGCTGGCTACGCCATCGCGTAAAATCACCTCCACAGCTATTGAAACTTCAAGCTTGAAAACGTGTATTCCACTTGGAACTTAGAGGATTGAAAAAAATTAACATGGATACCTTTCACACTGTACATCTGATTGTCTGTCATAACTGCTTAATTACACCTAGCAGAATGTGCTGAATAGTTGCGTAGATGAACCGTAATTCAGATACGCTTATCTCAGTGTATTTCAGTAGTACAGTTAAAATAAACAATGCTGACAGCCAGTTGTATGGATTGTGCATTAGAGAAGTCATTGTTATATTCGTATGAAGTCATGTGTTTAGTCTAAACGATATGCAAGATGAATTATGCGCTTATCGAGCCACAGAAGACTTCTCTATCGTAATCATCATCCTATCACCAAAATAAAAGTCAACTATAAAACAACCTCACATTTTGCTCAAGTAACATAAAATATCAAGAATCAAAGGAGTTATAAGATTTGATAGTGTGGAAAATTCCCATATTATGAATTAAAAGTCAATCTGAACGAAGAATATTCTTTTCAATAATTTCTCTCGTGATGGTTCTTACTATTATAAAATATAATATTTGTTGTCGTTACAATAATGGCCAGTTATGCGGCGGATACACCTTTCAACGTAGAATAACAGATTAGTGGTTATGGGGTGTCAAAATAAATAGTCGTATTTGTGTGACAAACGTGCCAGTTGGCTGAAATCGATTACAAAATATTGTAAAATGGGAGACAATGGTGGTGATAGTCATAATAGATTCGTAGAGTGTGGGCTGGGAAAACTGACAAGTCAGTTCAAGGTTATAAAAGGTGTCAGGTGAGTGGCTAGTACAAAGTGGTCTGTGTTAAACAGGAGATAGTAAGACTGCAATGGGAGGTTCATAATGAGATAACGAATATGTGAAATGAAACAGGTGGAGGCATATATTGAGAAAAGAGATAACATCACTAATAATAAGTCCGGATAGTATAAATGGAAAATTCGATAGTATTGAGAGAATGTTTGCATGAAGGGCATAAATTATGACGAATAATAATAATAATTGTAATAATAATATTTGTAATATAAAGCAAAGGAAAAAAAAGGAAGGAGTACTCTTGGTGAGAAGAAGGATCATCAATCCAAGTTTGGCCACGGTATGAACAGTGTCTGGACGTATTCTTTTTGGATACAAAGTTCCGGTTTAGTCGATCTTATTGCAACAGCTTCAGCTATGTGTAGAAGACGTAAGCGAACTGTACGTGATAACGACTTCGGAATTTGGTATATAACGCTGAAAGCTGTGTTAACATCGATATGATGTCCAGTATCGACCAAGTGTGACAGGATCGAGCTTTTTGTGCACTTAATTTCCCCCCTGCTGAACCAAGCTGGTAAATGTTCTCGAACCCGTAGACGAACCTGCCTAATCGTGCGCCCTATATAACTTGAACCACAGGCACAGCTGAAATGGTATATGCATGAAGAAGAGCTAAGCTTAGGTAAGACATCTTTGAGTTGCTGGGTGAACATTTTATAATTGTAAGAACCTGAAGAGAAATTATTGAAAAGAATATTCTTCGTTCAGATTGACTTTCAATTCAAAGGAGTTAGCCGAATAATTCTCACATTGGTTAAGCCTACAAAAAATGGTATTGTCTACCTTTGTAAGCCTCTTGATACCAAGTCATCAACTGAATTCATTATCACAGATGTAATTGTGAATAATCAATTACCGCTGGGGCCAGTTTAATTCAGTCTCGTGAAGGGATGTTCGCATGCCATATAGACACTAAAGGGTATATCCCACCTATTGAGCATGAGCAACTCTAGGTGTTCAGTATTGTTTATGTACAGAGATCTCTGTCATCAGATAAATGCCTTAACTATAGGATTATCGATTATCGGTCAATCTATTCATGTATTAAATAAGAAATAAATACCATATAATGACATTTCTGGTTTGTTCACTTTAGAAGTAGCTAGACTAAAAGTTTAAGGGAACAGTTGTCAGAAAACCACCGTTTTCGGACGGACACCTTTCATGGGTTTGATCACGAGTTGACATCAGTTAGAGAACCATTGGAAAACCAGGTAGTATTGGACAGCTGTTCCGCAGTAGTTTGAGCCTCTTTTGTAATACGCACCAACCGGGCGTCGAACTCAGGACCTTCCAGTTACAACGTGAGCTCGTAGATCATTCAACCACTGCACCCTGTAACCAACCAAATCTCAGCAAACCAACAACTGAAAATTAATCTGATGCTCACTAGAGACTGGCTCTATACAAGAGATTACCTGGAGTTCTATTAAGAAATCGTGACCAGCGGAGTTTACTAAGTCAGGACAGTTGCTCTGCGATGACATCAGATGACAGTTGCGCCAAATGAATAGGCAATTAGATTAGGTCCCAGTCGTCTATGAGCTCACATTGTAACCCAAAAGTCTTGGATTCGAATCCCAGTTGGTGTGTACTACTGAAGAGTCCTTAACTGGGACGAAACAGATGTCCAATACACCCGGTTTTCCAATGCTTCTGTAACTGACGACAGCTTGTGATGAAACCTGTAACTAATCAAATCCCTGTAAACCAATACTTGAAGATATCTTTTATTTTAATTCCTCACAAACCTTAGCCATGAAAGTAACGGTGGTTAAGAGCATTTTATGTTCCACATAAAGAATGCAAAAATAAAGTTATCACTAGTTCATCCTACCGTTAAAACAAATCAATACTTTAAGACCTATATGAAAGGTCACTTAGGCAGTTCATTTGAGAGCGAGCCACTAGGAGTTAGGTTAATATCGTAAAATCTCTCCTGGACGATCTATTTATAACATTTATACTTATTTCGACGTTTCAACTAACTTTGTAATTAATTATACGAATTTCCGCCACCCACCCCCCACCTACCAGACTGTGTACCATCAATTTGACATTTGCATATCACATGTTGATTTTTGACCTTTATTATTTGCCTTTGTACTTGTTTAATCTTTGCTTGTAAAATACTTCTCTTTGTGGTTGTCTGTACAATGTGTGTTGTTTAACGATAGGAGTTTGTTTGAATGAATCAAGGTCATTCTAACCCTTGGAGTGTCTGTGCGAAGCCTTGATGTGTGATTCTTGTGGACAGAGACTTTGATCCCACCCGGTTTGGAGTATTCTCCTCGATTCTATGGTACCTTTTACGGTTGAAATTTGGTTAACTAATTTTATCTTACAGTACTTCTTTTGTATTTGGAAACATGCATCGCCTATATTGATGCTCCCTCGGTACTGTTGAGGTAAATTGGAGTTTTGATGTTATTATTGTTTAGTAGATCCGCTAAAATACTGGAGGATAATCGTCTTTTCCCTGTCTTTGGAACTTTTCATGATAGTGCGTGTCTCAAGGAAGTAGTTTTTTCGGTTGTACAGCAGAATGTGGAGATTGGTTCAAACCACAACCGAATAAATTTGGTCGTTAAACTATATACTACTGATTGATTGATATGAGTAGTCGGCGACCACTTCCATCAACCAGTAGCGCTTGCTAGCCAGTCAGATTTAAGTGATCTATGTACTAGACGGCCATTTCGCTCGTTTGGGGCCGAGCATATCACCGGTGGGCCAAGTTAAACTTTAGACACCAGTAACTACCAATCAGCTAACGACGTCGATTTATCCAATGAGATTCACTAACGCAGTTCAATGTTGTATAGCGCTTGATTCATTTCCAATGCGTGCCCTTACAAGGTCACGTTTGCAATTCGAGGGGACACTATTTTCCAGTATTGTCTGGATTTAGAGTTGCTCCGGAAGGAGCGAACTTGTTCGTGTGGGGGTATCATGACCTTAAAAAGCTATAGTAGGTCAATTGATGGATTTGTCCATCGTTGTGCTATATGCTCCAAGCGTGTTAGCATTAGAGAGGGTAAGCTGATAATTTTGCATCTTGAAAATGGAGAAGATTACTTCGTTGTTGGGCGGGGACGGCGTTGTAGTGCACGTGGATGAGACTGTGTTGCTGAAGAAGAAATACAATCGTGGTCGCCAGCGAGCGAATAATAACTGGGTCATAGGTTTATACGATACTTCCCTCCTAAAGGGATTCGTTGAAAGAATAGGAGATAGAAAGGCGACTACGTTAATACCTATTATAACTAGACTTTTCAAACGGGGTTCAATTATACACACGGACGAGTGGAAAGGTTATAATTCGCTTTCATCCTTGGGATATAGTCATCACCGAGTGAACCATTCAAACGATTTTGTGGATCCAGTTACCGGAACTCATACAAATTCTATTGAAGGATTTTGGGGCTGGTTGAAAAAGGGCTATAAATGGATCCCAAAAGGATCTCATTTATAGTCATTTAGATGAATATATGTACAGAATGTGGTGCGACTTTTCTATTGACAGTCCGATGCTGAATTGGGAAATGTTTCTGTCCCATGTTCGCGAAAGTTACCCGTTGCAACTGTTTTATCCTATTTTTTATGCATTTTTCTATAAATATACGTTACCACTTATCATAAACGCCTCTTTCATGTCATTGGTCCGTTCAAGGTCGTTTGCTGATTGGTTGTTACTGGTGTCTAAAGTTTAACTTTGCCGGGTGAACTGGTGATAGCATAAATCAAATTCACAAGACAGATTTATCGGAAAAGCTCAACATGCATGTTAATAAAACGTTTTTATTACCCAATGAATAGAAAAGCAAAATGACCATAATAATGAACATTATTATATATCCAGTACCCAAATCTTTTCAAACCATTAAATTTGAACTTGACATATATATATATATATATATATATCGCAGATGATTTATGTTTAATGTCACACAAACTCGAAAACTTACAGGCGAAAACTAACAAACTGGCTGATAAAGCAGCTAGAAAAGACAGGACTCCAGGTAAAAATGGAGAAGACGGAGGTCATGAAGAAAACAACTACCCAACAGCAACAACAACAACCAGTAACAATCACCATCAACGGGAGAGATTTAACACAGGTTACTTCCTTTACTTATCTGGTCAGGAAGAACGCTTTCAACCACAGGCACTTGGAACGGATGATGTCAAAGCCAGCCACAGAGAATCGGAAAGGCAAGATACACATTCATCAACCTGAAACCAGTTTGGAAATCTTCTGCACTGCACTCAGTCAGCCAGCATTAAGAACAAGATTCGGATTTCCAACACAAATGCGAAGTCAGTCAGCTCTTCTATACGAGTCAGAAACTTGGTGTGTGTGTGTCACGAAAAGGATTTCCAATGTGCTACTACAGACTTTCATCAACAGCCGCCCTCTTCGCCGTCTCCATACTGAAGATCAAATAGCTAGAAATAATCAGCAACAAGAAACTCTGGCTGACTGGCAACAAACCAACAAGCAAGAGTCGATTGCTCAACAAATATGTAGGAAAAAATGGAGATGGATCGGGCATACTTTGAGGAGGCTGTCGAATGACATCGCGCTCAATCCAGGTCACTGATCGATTGGAATCCCAATGGGAAGTGACGGGTGGGTCGTCAGTGCGAGCTAGGGTGAAACAAACTATTTCCTAATTCTGTGTAAGTGTAATTTTGTTTCTAAGCTCCTTGTAATGCATATTCACACCTTCGTTGTCAGTTATGTTTAACATTGTGCGGTAAAATGAATACCTCCTTTTATGTAAGTAAACAAAATAAATATTAATCAAACTAAAATGGCAATAATTATTTGTTGCATAATCCATCACAAAATATTTTGTCACTTACTCATAGAATTTTGGCGGCGGAACACCCAACGTCCGACTGACATCTTCTATAGTGATCACACCTTTATCATTCGTATCGAAAAGTTGTAACCATCTCTAAGTTAAAAATGATGAATAATAATTAAAGAAAAAAAAGAAAACGGAACAAATTGAAAGTTATGTGTGTAAAAACAGTTTGCAGTTATTGTTAAAATGTGAAAATATAAATTTCTAAACATTTGACTGAGCAATTGATCAAATAATATCGTCATATATTTGATTAACGGAAATCTGCTTCATTTGGCGTAGAGAACAAGATTAAGGTTTTCAACAGTCATATCAAGTGAATGCGAATATATTGGTTCAGAGACTTCACGCGTCACCAAAAGCATTTCCAATGGATTATAGACTTGTGCGTCGGTGGCACAGCGGTTAGGACGCTCGCCGACCATGCACATGGTCTGGGGTTCAATCCCCGGCCACTGACGCACTCCTTTACCTCACTAAGCCAGAAATAAAAGCTGGTAAAGAGGGAAGGTTGGGTATGAGGCTAGCAACCCCATCCTGTAAAAATAAACACCACTGCTACAGAAACTTCAAGCCTCTAGCTTGAAGCAGCCCTATGTTCCACTGGGAACGTGAAGGAATAAAAAAAATAGACTTTAATCAGCAACTGCCTTCGTTCTATACTGAGAACAATATAGTCAGCCAGGAAGGGTTAGCAACAAGGAACTCTGTCAATGAACCGCCCAAGAACCTATCGCCAAATAAATATGCCCAAGGAAATGAAGATGGATGGACATATGCTGACGAGTCCGCCCAGTGATATAACACTCCAGGCATAACTTCGAGTACTGTGTGAATGGGTAATGATGATTTCAATATGAGTTTGAGAGTGACATGGTGAAGATGGTGTGAGGAGATAATCGTCGATGGGCAGTCGTGGAGTCAGCTAAAGTGTGAATAGAATAGGATGAAATCGAGATGTGCTGTTGAAGCTCTATGTCCCGACTGGAACCCAAGGAAATAATAATAAATAATTTGCTTCATTCGGCAGTCTGCTTAAATCTCTAGGGCTGCCTAAATTTCCATCTAGTATAATGCGTAAACTCTTCCTCACTTCCAGCAGTTTGAATGATGCACTTTTATCCTTGGATTGATACATCAACAAACGCAGATTTTTAATTAGCTCCTTAAATATTGCTGTGCAGTTGACTAAGGAAATGAGGAAAAAAAGTTGTAGAGGACTGAAATCTTGTTACAGACAGAACAACACTGATTCACTTGATATACTATCAATTACTATTCCAAGAGTTGGTTTGTAAGGATTAGATTTGTTTATACGAGTTTGACCACGGATTGATATCAGTTAGAGAACCATTGAAAACCAGCCACAGGGATTACTGTACAGCTGTTTCATCCTAGTTTGGGAATCATCGCCAGTACGCACCCACTGGGGGTTCGAACCCATGGCCTTCCGGTTACAAGGAATTCGTGATTTAGCGCGACCACCAAGTAAGAAGAAGTTAGAATTCATGGAGTAGCCATTGAATCGGGTCCCAGTGGCTGAATGGTATACGAGCTTTCCTTGTAACCGGAAGGTCCTGGGTTCGAACCCCAGTGGGTGCGTACTGGCGATGATTCCCAAACTAGGATGAAACAGCTGGCTGTCCATTCTTCTTTGGTTTTCAATGGTTCTCTAACTGATATCAATCCGTGGTCATACTCGTAATTACTGTTTCACTTGAATATCCTTAACGAAGAGTAAATATTTCTCGATTAAATACTCTGAGAACTGTGTGCTGTATTAGATAGTCGGAGGCGATCGACAGGAAGCCTTGGACCTAGGTTTCCTGCTAGGTGGCATTCACCAGTCAGCAAGGCATATCTGCTACCTTCAAGGAAATCATGTCCTTTTTGAGATTTGGACCCGCGTTACCCAGTGAGTGCTGCAGTCAGAGACGTTACCACTGAGCTATTCGGGTTCGCGATTAATTTCCTGTAGGACTGATAGAATTCAGTCTGCACCAAATATAGGCCTAAACACATAACACTAGTTACTGACTAGTGTCCAATACAGTCCTACAGGAGGTAACGTCTGAAACTGCAGCACTGGGTGACACGAGTTCGAATCCCAGAAGGGACATGAATTCCTTCAAGGCTTCAGATACACCTAGCTGACTAGTGAGTTCCAACAAGTACATAACCTAGATCCAAGGCTTCCTGGCGATTGTCTCCAACCATCTAATATCAACAAAGGACTAGACACATTACACTGGTTATTGACTAATGGTCAATCAAAACTGTGTGCTGTGTTAACCGATTTTCTGTTATTGTCATTAATACAGTCTAAATCTTTCAATTAAACCCACTAAATCACCAGATTTATAAGTAGATTTAAAATTTCGCCTAATTTATCCGTTTTTCGCAGAAAACGGATTATTTGGTAGACAGAAAATCACCGAAAATTTCATACTACACAATCTTGTTACTTATAAGCAACTAATAAGTAGTATTATTTCAAAGGAACAATATACTCAACATTACATTACATTCGATAATATTGAACAGCTCGTTATCATACAAACAGTGTAGCTACTTTCATCATATATTCCATTAATTGAGCTTAGTTAAAATGTAAACGTATACAGGATGCCATGCTCCAGTAAATATCATTCAGATAATGATGATTTATTTGTTAAACCGATCAATACTTCTATTTATATATATATATATATATATATATATATATATATATATATATATATATATATATCATTAAACTTAATTAATAACTTCAAAGCAAAAACATTAAATATGAAAGAAAGATAATAAAACTAAGAATTAAAATAATAATTATTATTATAAGACTAGAAACAGACATACGATATATTTGTGATTAGAAACCACTAATAGATTTTATTTTGGTCGTTATCACCATCAAGCCATGTAATCCAGGATATTAGTCTGATGCTTGCTAGTGACTTGATACAGGATGGAGTTTCCTGGAGTTCTAATGAGAAGTCGTGGCCATCCAGATGTCACGTGTGAGGATGCATGTCCCACCTACGACAATGGTTGGGGTCGCGCTAAATCACGAATTAGTAGAAGTCAGAATTCATGGGTCATTGAATTGGTATACGAGCTTGCCTTGTAACAGGAAGGTCCTGAGTTTGAAACCTAATAGGTGCTAACTGCCAATGATTCCCAAACTAGTATGAAACAGCTGTCCAGTACTTCATGGCTGGTTTTCAATGGTTTTCTAACTGATATCAATCCGTGATCAACTCGTAAAAACAAAACTAACCCTTATAACTGTAGAAAATTCAGGATATGTGAATATCACAAATTTGAATAAAGCAAGAAGAACAGTTCGCGCAAAATAAAATGGTACTATCACTGTTGATTTCGTTGGCTTCTCATCAGCTGCTTACAGCCCAAAGACATTCATTATTAAGTTTCTGTTACCTCGAGAAACTAGAGAATGCACCTTTGAAAGATGTAGCTGATGAACTAGAATTCTACTGTCTACATATGGATGATACTATTTTTATTATGAAAAGTGAGGATGAGACAAGGAACATCCTGGACAAATTTAACGATTTTCGTCCTGCAAAAAATTTTACCATTGAGAAAGAAAGAGACTCTAGTATTTTGATTTTTAGAAGTCCATATCTCTAGAAAAGAGGACAGTACAATAAGGAGAAGTGTATATAGAAAGCCTACATCAACTGACTGTCAGTATACTAACTTTTTCAGCTTCCTGCCTTTGAAATACAAACGTGATCTAATAAAGTGCTTGGTCCACAGAGCAAGAGTAGTCTGCTCGGATAAATGTCTTAAGGAAGAGCTTAGTAGTATTAAACAGTTGCTGAGTGAGAACGGTTACCCAGAAAAATACATCGATAAGAATATCAGTCATAAGTCAAGGCAGGCCAAAATACCAACAGTTCCGAAAAAAGCCTTATTCTTACAACTTCAGTTCCTCGGGGATAAAATCAATGAGATTTTAACACAACGCCTAAGGAATGCGGTAAAAAGGGTATTCAGTGCTGCTGAATTACTCTATGTCTTCAAAACTATCCTTATTTTGCCTCCTGGAGTAAAAGATAAACTGCCTAATTTCGCCTCTTCTGATTTTTTTTTTTTGATTTACAGCTTGATTCCACACCGTATTTTTAGTACAAGTATGGAATTTTCAGCATGGATATCGGTGCCCAAATTCAGCCGACCATAGATATCGGGTGTGCGCCGGCAGGGGATCGAACCCGGACCATGTGCATGGTTGGCGAAGTCTAAGCACTGTCACCACGCTTCTACTCACTTGGCTGCTCCCGGGGAACCAGTTTCATAGGCCGTAAAATTAGGCGTGTTTATCGTCGGATTTCCGAACATCATCCTACGTGGTTGGTTGGGTAAGGGACAAACAAAATCTATTCATAGGGTTATTCCATCCCATGTTGTAGATACAGAACACAAGATTGATGTTAAAGAGGCCTCTTCCAAAATCATCCACCGCATACCAACTAATCTTAACATCACCTTAATAGTTCGTCTACTACATATTGCTGAGGCTGTGGGGATCCACATTAAGAAGCCCAACTTATGTATCCAAAAGAAGCTGGTTCAGACATTGTCCCTAGCTTGGTCATCAAGGTTCTAATGATCCTTAATTTGTTGTGGAAATTTCCGTAATTTTATTTGATATTCTATTTGCTATTACATTTTAATGCTTATTGTAATTTATGCATCTTTCGTGAACTGTAATTTCATTTGTCCTACTTAACAAGTCGATAGTATTTAAAAGCACCAATACTGCTAATGACGATTATTCTAGAATATTCTATGTATATAAACATATATATATTAATTGTAGAGCCAGAAGAGGAAATTATCGAAAAGAATATTCTTTGCTCAATTTTTTGTTTTGTTTTTTCTAGATGTCTGAATGAATATTTTCGAAATTTTAACATGCATGCGCCCCGTCCTGATGAGGTGTGTGTGTGTCAGTGATTTAGCAGTAGAATGCTCGCCAACCACTCGCGTGGTACAGGACTCACTTTTTGGACGACACGCTCCTAAACCTATTTTTTACCGGTTAGTAAGGTGGGTGTCAG